CTCTGATGTTCACGGCTTTGAGTTCCTCTGAATATGGAGTTGTTTGTGTGCTTTTGGCATGTTACTTTATCAAGGATGGGAACCTTAGTTTTTATGATTGTCAGTGCCTAATAGAACAACATTCAGAACTGGATACCTAATACATATTCCTTAATGACAATGATGAGGAAATGGGACTGGAGGGTTTATTGCTGTCATTGATGAGAGCCATTCTCAGAGCTGCTTTGTGGATACAAGAAACTTACTTGCCTACATGTTTAAGTAAAACTAGAGCTGGGGAGTGGGGAGTATTAGTTCATGTCCTATACTTGCTGATAGGTTGGTTCCTAAAGACCTGCTTGCTTACTCTTCACATGAGGTTAAGTCAAGGCTGACTGGCTCAGGGCCCACTCTGTGAGCACGAAGCCTTGTGGGCATCCTTTTAGCTCAGCACTGAGTCCCTCCTGGCAGCGGTTGCCCATATATTCTAAAATGGAAGCCCAGCACATGCGTGTAATCTCAGTGACTGAGGAGGCTGAGGCAGGAGGACCACAAATTCAAGGCCAGCCTGGGAAACTTAGCAAGACCCTATTTAAAAATAAAAATTAAGGGGCTGGGGTTGTAGCTTAGTGGTAGAGCACTTGCCTAGCAAGTGTGAGGCACTGGGTTCGATTCTCAGCACCACATATAAATAAATGAATAAAAAATAAAGGTCCATCAATGTCTAAAAAATATATTAAATAAATAGGGCTGGGTTTGTGGCTCAGTGGTTCAGTGCTCACCTCACATGTGTGAGGTCCTGGGTTCGATCCTCAGCACCACATTAAAAAATAATAATAATAAATGGATAAAGGTGTCCAACTACAACTAAAAAAATAAAAAATAAAAAATAATAAATAAAAATAAAAATTAAAAGGGCTATAGTCGTGTAGCTTAATGGTAAAGGGGTGTCCCACAGTTTAATCTGCAGTACTACCAAAAAAAAAAAAAAAAAAAAAAGAAGAAGAAAAGAAAGAAAAAGAAGATGGTCAGTTTCCTTCTTTTTATTTCTTTAAATCACAAAGGACCTCAGTTAAGGCAGCAAACATGTCAGGGGCTGGGGAGGATGCCCAGAATATTAATTGGTGACTGGGCCCACATCTAGAACTGAACCATGATCAAGAGTGCTCCTCTTGGCCACTTCCGTTCATTCGATTTCTGTGGAGAGCTTGTTTTTTTTTTTCTTCTAGCATGTGCTGTACATTTCTCTTTGTTCACACAAAGCAGTACAAGGCCTCCAGTGGAACCAGCCACCAAGGGTAGGAAAAGGCAACCAGGAACTGCCTTCCGACACCAGAAACGTGTAGTGTGTACAGCCCTGTGTTTGCATCCGTCTTCCCTTTCCAGAACTGACGTCTCGGGGTTCCTGGGAGAATGAGGTCTTGAATGAGTGATATTCTCATTCTTCTGGGCACAGCTGTTGAGGCTGCGAGGAGGAAGGTGTGGAGTCCAGATGGATGCAGGCAGCCCTTCCTGTGGGACACATGGTTCTGGGTTGGCTGTTGAGGCTTTTCATTTTTTCACACCTAGCAGAACCCTAAAATTTAAACCCTATTGTGCTTTGCTCTCCTTCCTTACTCTACTTAGATGGAAACTTGGGCGATTTTCACTCGCCCTTGTCACTTGCTCCTACGTCAAGAAACCCAGAGCTTTACCCAGATCATCATACATCTCCATCACCAGGCCACACTTTGGAATGTGGCTGTAACAGAGCTGGCTGGACACACACAGGAGTTGCCCCCAGTTTCAAACCCAGTGGGCCAGGAGCACTTGCTCTCCCAGCTCCAGTCTCTCCAGATGAACCTGGGAAGCTCCTAGTCAGATAGCTAGAGAAAAGCCCACAGAAAGAGGGGGACTTTGCTCCCTCTTCCTTCCATCTGGCAGAAGTGGCTATTGAAATGCTGAAAGAATTAAAAATGGGGAAAGAGGAGCACACACTGAGCTGGACTGCGTGGGGGCCGAGAGGAACCAATGTTGTCAGGTTTAGATAGGGGGAGAAAGCAAAGACAAAACTGGACCCGGGTTAGGCCCACCCCTTGAAGAATGGTCTGACAGTGAGCTGTAGTTCAAATCCTGTTGGATTCATCACGCATAATGTTGAATTAAATGAGATTATAAAGTTATTATAAAAATCAGCCTACCATTTAGAATTGTTCATTATTATCTTGAATTCTTTTCTTGGTCTTCATTTTTGGCTCTCCTGACCAGACCTTATCCAGCTAATGAGTTCCTCCAGCTTCTCACCCGCCTCTCAGTCATCACCTAATATCAGGCTCAGTCAGGGGTGCTCCATGGTAAGCCCAAGTTTTAAATTATGCCTTTTGATGCCTGAAAGTCCTGGGATCCCCTGGTGGGTCGCTGAACCCCCTTTCTGAATCTTTCTTTACCTGTGCTCAGTACCGTGGTCAAGCTGGCCTCACATTGCCTGAGTTCAGATCCACATCTAACTAGAATATCTAATTGACCGCCTTGCCCCCACCCCTATCAAGCAGATTTATTTCTTCTCTACTTTTTTTTTTCTTTTGATGGGGAGAGCGTTTACTAGGGATTGAACGTGGGTCCACTCAACCACTGATCCACATCCTCAGACCTATTTTGTATTTTATTTAGAGACGGGGTCTCACTGAGTTGTTCAGCCCCTTGCCATTGCTGGCTTTGATTCTGCTGCCTCGCCTTCCTGAGCCATTGGGGTTATTGGCATGCGCCACTGTATCCAGCTCTTTTCTATTTTTTGAGTAAGTTAAGAAACCAACCTAGAGAAGTGGGCAGATTCTTACTCTCTAGGAGAAAATGAGGCCCAGAAAGCAGTCACACCAGCCGTATTTGGTAGAACCCAGGATTGACACAACATCCATGACTTGCTCTCCAGGACCTTTGTGAAGCTTTTCTTTTTTTTTTGTACCAGAGATTGAACCTAGGGGCGCTTAACCACCGAGCCACATCCCCAGTATATTTTGTGTTTTATTTAGAGGCAGTATCTCACTTGAGTTTAGTGCCTCACTTTTGTTGAGGCTGGCTTTGAACTTGTGATTCTCCTGCCTCAGCCTCCTGAGCCACTGGGATCACAGGCATGCACCATGGCGGCTGGCTTTTATGAAGTTTTGAGCAGAGGTGAGAGTCAGAATTCCTCCTGTTAATGACAGTTTCAAGCTGTGCGGCAGACTCCTGACTCCTCTTGGTATTCTGTCACTGGCCTTACAAAATATTCTTTAACTCATTGAGAGCCTACTATTCTAGGTACTGTGGATTCTGTGAGAAATGAAAAAATTAGAAAGAACCCTGCTGTGCTCCTGTGGGGCTTATGGTAACAGTGTTACAAACAATAAGAACATATGTGAAACTACTATAAGACCATGATGAGCCAGGTGGGGTGGCGCATGCCTGTGATCCCTGTGGCTTGGAAGGCTGAGACAGGTCGCTAGTTCAAAGCCAGCCTCAGCATCAGCGAGGTGCTAAGCAACTCAGTCAGACCCTGTCTCTAAATAAAATACAAAATGGGGCTGAGGATGTGGCTTAGTAGTCAAGTGCCTGAGTTCAATCTCCCTGGTACCAAAAACCAAAAAAGACTGTGATGAGTGCTCTGGAGAATGAGGCAGAGGAGGAATCTGGGACGGGGCAGCACATACTGGAAGTTATTTCCTTGACCAAATCTGTCCATGTGCTGAGCTCTCAGGGCCAGGTGCTCATGTTCATCATACACAGCACAGGTTCCAGCACACTAGGGCTCCATCTTTACTCAGTAGAGCCTGGGCAGGGAGCAACCTGACCTGTGGTTGGGGAAGCAACCATGGGGCTGGCTTTTCCAAATTTATTTGCTAGGCCTAGAGCTCCACCTGCTGTTAGAGGGTAGAAAAGACTCTTAGGGGAACTTTGAAAACTAGTTTCTTTTTACCTAAGATATATTTTTTTAAAAAATTTAAACAAATCCTGCTGGGACATTTGAGGCTTTCTTCTGGGACTGCTGTTGCTGAGGCCCAACCTCCGGGGAAGAAGGGGAGGAAGGGGAGGAAGCACAGAGGCCCAGGCAGGATGGGGTCCTATCTGTGCTCTTGCTACTTTTAGTGTCTCATTACCCCAGCACTCCCACCACAGCCAACAGCCTATAAAGTTATCTCTTCGCACAGTTTCACAGCTGTTCAGAAATCCTAGGTCAGCAGAAGTGAAACTGACCACAGTCTTGTAAATTTCTCTCTTATTGCCATCGTTCCCTGCTTGAAGTGAGTCAGGCCTTGCCCTCTTCCGCAGTGTCTTAAATCATCATTTGTCCCCTTCGAGTAAAATTCTCGACAAAAGGAGGCGGGTCCTCCATTCACAGCAAGGTGTTTGTAGAGGGGCTTTGTTTGGGCTTGTCCCCTAAGTGTGTGGGCTGGAGGTGGGAGCTATGGTCCACTTGGTGGTGTCCCCAGAATAGAGTTAGAGCCACACCCTTCTTATCAGCTGCCGGTGGTGTGTGTGCTTCACAAGGGTAAGCCTTGTGACTGCTGGGAAGTTCCTTTAGTCCTTAGGGATGATGTTCAAATTAGCTTTAGCAGCACTACTAATGCCAGCTGAAGTGAAGAAGGAAGTAGCATCTGAGAAGAGACCTTTTTGGTTCAACTGTCCATTAAAACCATTTGTCCATTCATTGATTCCTGATGAGGCTGAAGGTGGGCCTGGCATGTAGATGCACCCTGCCCTGTGTAGGTCCTGAGAGTGAAGTGAGGCCCGGGTGGGCTTGGCTGTAGGTGCTGTGCACATTATGGAGCCTAAGTGTAGGTAGCAGTGACTGCTCCTGATAGGAATTATAAAGGAACCTTAACAGTCAGGCCATAGCTAAGCCATAAAGGCTCCTGCTTGCTCAGGTATTGCTTCTTCTTTACTCCAGCTGTGTTATGGCACTGCTAAAATTAACTTGAATGTCAGATGCCCTCTCCACTGAAAACTGTAGTACTTAATGTGATGCTTCACGAAAAGTAATTCTTCTCTGGCTCTTCTTTCAACAGCTTTGAAAAGTCCAGCTGCGTTTCATGAGCAGAGAAGGAGCTTGGAGCGGGCCAGGGTAAGACATCCTTCTTCCCTAGCACCTTGAAAGCATGTTGTTGGTGCTCGTTGCATTGCTGGTTACATTTCCTTTGGGTCAGCCCTTGCCTCACAGCTCGACCCAGAGGCTTCTGCTTTCCTACTTTGTCCCTCCCCCACTGCTTCCTACAGTGGTCCTATGGAATATGGTCAGAGTGAGGCTCTCCTTCAGTGTATCTGAGGGTATGGGATGATCACCCAGGCCTCCCTCCCTGACCTGGCTCTGGACACCTCTAGTTTTCCCATCTTTAGTTTTGAGCTGTTTATGGATGATAGACACCAGTATAGTCACAGAACAACCTCCTATGTCCAGGATGCACTGCCCCACCCTTGCAGGACAGATGCCCCAAGGAAGCCTCCCTGGTCTCTGCCTGCCCCAGAGCAGCCAGTGTCCATTTGCACCCTTTGAAAAGCAGAAGCAGGTGGCTCAGAGCCTAGGTTTCCTGCTGTAGCACCTCACTTGTGTCCCTGTCCCCTTCAGTTTCAGTTCCCCAGCAGCCCCTGGGGAATATCCTCCTGCCCAGTGTGGGCAGAGATGAGGAAGTCACCAGAATGTGCTTCCCATCCCACTCCTTTTACTTTTTTCTTTTACATTAAGTCAAGGAAAGAGACCCTTCTTCCTATGGGGAGAACCACACCTCTCTTAGAGTCTAAAATATTTGCCCCTAAGATTAAAACTATTTTTTACCTTAGAAAATTGTGATTAATTCTTAGTGAATAGAAAGAATGAGGTCGTGGGTGTTGGGAACCAAAGCAGTAACAAACTGCACTGTTTGTGGGAGCAGTGGAAGGTCCACTGGGGAGAAAGGGTCAGAAGGTTTGCCTGTGTGCACCCCCGCCCCGCCCCCAGCCAACAGCTCTGTGTAGGGTGGACACACACTGATTAGGACGGCTGCTGTCCTATCAAGCGCTTCTGTACGTGAGGTTAAACCCATTTATTGTTCGTCTTCACATCAGCTCCATGGATCACATGCCGTTGTCCTCTTTTGTTTTTCCCCACTCAGCTGCATGCAGCCCTTTTCTCTTTTATTTTGAGACAGGGTCTTGCTGAATTGTTCAGGCTGGCCTCAAATTTGTGATCCTCCTCTCACAGCCTCTTGGGATCACAGCACGCACAATATCCCCTTGCTATTACCCTTATTTCATTAGATGCAGCCAAGGGAGGTTAGCCACATTATCCATCTAGTATTGCAAAGCTCACGCAAACCTTGTTCTGTGGATTCCAATTTTTTTTTTTAGCAAAGTAATTTTATTTCCTAATACATGTAAACGTGTTCATTCAATAATCTTGCGCATCTGTTCACAAATGATTTCCAGATTACAGTAATTGCTTTTATATTTAAGCATATACTAAAAATTATCTTAGTTGAGATTTAAAAAATGAGTCTATTGGATTGATTACAGCAGAACTTGCTTTAATAAGTTCTAACAACTCAAAGCTTTGAAACCTGCCACTTTTGCATTTGAGTAAGATGCTGAGTACTGTCAGCCTGTGTTCCATGCATTTTTTTTTTTGGTACCAGGGATTGAACCTCAGGGGCACTTGACCACTGAGCCACACCCCCAGTCCTATTTTGTATTTTACTTAGAGACATGGTCTCACTGAGTGGCTTTGTGCCTTGCCTTTGCCTCCTGCCTCAGCCTCCTGAGCTGCTGGGATTACAGGAGTGTGCCATTGTGTCCGGCTATAGGGTTCCATGCATTCTTTAAGTGGTAGCACCCTTACCACATCTGTGGCTCTTGTGCAGGGTGGTGGCTATGAGGCATGTCTGGTGGCTGTAGCAGTGTCAGGTCACAGCGGGAGGGGTTGATACACTGTTCACCTCTCGTGAGTGATTCCTTTTTCATCAGTTGCTCAGCCACTCATGCTCTCCAGTGGTCATGAGTGTTTTTCATGGTATCAGCTGCCAAGTCTTTGTCTTTACATTCTGCATCTAAGGCAAACTGGTTCTTTCCTTTCCCATCAGGAACCTTGTTCCTTTTAACCCAGTCCTAAATAGCTTCTAGGTAGGCAGGCTTCAGCCATTTGGTATTATTAATACGTTTACTGTTGTTGGAAGAGATGCATAGGTATGTGGGAAGGGGCTGAGTCACCCTCCCAGCACCTACATGAGTTCACCAACCTGGAAGGTCCTGCAGACATTTTTGTAATTAGTATGGCATTCACCTCCACCTGGGCTACCATTCAGAGCTTGAGGTGGCTTACAAAATGCACCTCCTCTGAGTCTGTGAATAGGTGGAGAACCCTACTCCTGCTCTTTCATTCTCTGCAGCTGCTGAGGCAATACCACTGCTAGTGCTAGACCCAGAGCCCAGAGCCACTTAAACCATCTCTTGGAGAACTCAGCCCCTCGGGATGGGCCCAGGAGAGCACCAAGGCAGCAAACGGGCAAGGCAAGGACCAGCCTTAACCCTTACTATACATACAGTGTGCCTGATATTTTGTACTGTATTCTACCCTGTCCGGTCCTGTTGTGTCTTATGCTGGTCTGACTCACTACCAGTCTTAATCTGTAGTTTGAAAATGCTGGTATGGAAGTTAAAGCATAGTCTCTGGAGTCAGATCTAAGTCAGCCCACATGTTGGCTCTGTGGATGTTGAGGTAATGATTTAGTTCACCCGGTCTAATAAATGCAGAAATGAAGACATTGGACTTTGAGGAACTAGAGCTGTGATACCATGTATCAAAATTAGTATTGATTTGGTAGTCATTCAGAATGAGTTGAAAGTGCTCATGAGATCACAGAATGCTGAGTTTTTTGAAACAGGTCATAAAATTATATTCAGTATGATTATAGCTCTACAAAATCAAATTTATCTTCAGCATGAAAGAATGACTAGAATCATCCCAAAATACTAACAGTGGGTGCTTAGAAGTTTTTGTTGTTGTTTTAGTTTCTTAATTTTATTTGATGAACATATTACTTTTATGATAGTATGAGTAATAATTTTTTAATATGTATATCACAAAATCCAGCCTCTGAAACCAGTGGTCTTAAAGAATGGTGCTCCTGGCAGGCACAGTTGGAAGCTGCTGAGCCTCCCATGCCTCCCTGTGTTTCAGAACCCTGCAGTCACCAAGTAGAGGTCGTGGGGGCTGCAGAGGTGGCCACCAGCAGTCACTATGGCCAGGACTTACTTTGTGGTCCTGTTCACACCGTAAGTTCATGACCTGGACCTGAGAGTTTCTTGATGTGTTCTCTCTGTAGACAGAGGACTATCTGAAACGGAAGATTCGTTCCCGGCCGGAGAGGTCTGAGCTGGTCAGGATGCACATTTTGGAAGGTGTGTGGGTTGGAGATGCTCCTTTCCCTTGCTGTGTTCCCACTCAGCTAGTGCTTTCTTCTGCCTGCCTTCTACCCTTGCCCATCTCTACTGGCAGGAGGCAGGCAGAGGCTTCCTACAGTCAGACAGTAGTGCTGTGGGGGCTGCCACGGGCTTCTTGGATGTACCCAAGAAGCAGTCACGTTCTGTCAGGGTGCTTGGCCTCTGTCCCACCATCCTTCTCTCTACCAGGGAAGACCCTCTCTGTCCTCCAAAGTCAGTTTTTAGAATGTGCCTTCTCTCTTTTCATTCATTGCTTTGCTCACTGGCACTTACTTGAGTACCTGTGACCGGGGCAGTTGAAGAGGGTGTGCTCCTTGTGCCCTGCCTGGCCCAGCCATGTGTTTCCCCGAGTTTTCTGGAAACAGCATAAATATGTTCACTTTTTATTTGTTTATTTGGGGCTATTTTGGGGGACAGAAAGACTTTTTCGAGTCTGAATCCCATATTTTGCAGGTAAAGACACTATGCCCCCTGGTCCAGGTTTGAGGGAGAGCAAAATGTTTGCATCATCTGTGCCCCTTTGTCTCTAGCTCCACCTTAGAATGTCCTCTGGGTTGGCCTGGCCTGGCCTGGTTATAGTTGACCTTGTGACACTCGAAGCCATGCCACCCTTCATGCCTTTATAATGCTTTCTGCTCTGGTGGTCTCCACTCCTGCACCCTGGGGCTTCCAAAGCAGAACCAGGGATTCTTTTCCTCTTCCCACACCCTGTTCTTTCCTGTGGGCAGAGACCTCGGCTGAGCCTTCCCTCCAGGCCAAGCAGCTAAAGCTGAAGAGAGCCAGACTAGCCGATGACCTCAATGAAAAGATTGCACAGAGGCCTGGGCCCATGGAGCTGGTGGAGAAGAACATCCTGCCTGTTGAGTCCAGCCTGAAGGAAGCCATCATTGGTGAGGAGGCGCAGGCCACCATGTGCGCCATGATTGCAGCAGGGATGCACAAGGGAAGGGAGAGCCTGAGGCGGAGTCCTGCTTTTGGCTCTTGCTTGCAGACTTCCTGAGTAGCCTCAGGTGGGGTGGCACAGAGCCTGAGAGCCTAAGAAGCAGGTGTCAGGTATCGCAGGGATTAGGACCACACAAAGATAAGTAACAGAGAGGCTTCCCATCACTCTTTGTGTCTGTGAACTCAGGGGCCTTTTCGGTCCTATGATAATTTAGTAAGTGCCAGAATCGACATGTAGAGAGATCAGGAATTAGAAACCTGTACCTTACTGTTGAGTTTTCTTCTCTTCTCCCCTCTTTGTTCCTCTCCTCTCACTCTTCCTTCTCTTCCAGGGTTGGGGATGGAATCCGCTGTCTCAAGCATGCTAAGCAAACACTCTGCCATTGAACTACACCCCAGCTGCTGCTTCTCCTCCTCCTCCTCCTCCTCCTTCTCCTCCTCTTCCTCCTCCTCCCTCCTTATTCTTCATATTCTTATGGTCCTTGGGTTTTAACCCAGAACTTTATGCATGCTAGTCAAGTACTCCTACCACTGAGCTATATCCATGGCTTGTCTTCCTTCCTTCCTTCCTTCCTTCCTTCCTTCCTTCCTTCCTTCCTTCCTTCCTTCCTTCCTTCCTTCCTTCCTTCCTTCTTTCTTTCTTTCTTTCTTTTCTTTCTTTTTTTAATTTTGAGATAGGGTTTCATTAAGTTGCCCAGACAGGCCTAGAACTTGTGATCCTTTTGCCTCATCCTCCCAAGGAGCTGGGGCTAGGTGGGTGCCACTGTACCTACTTCCTTATTATTTTTATTAGTGAAAATTCTTCCCAGAGTCTGGCCCTTTCCTCAGATATTTTATTTAACAAGCACTGAGGGACCCAAGCAGTGTCCTGGGCTCTAGCACTGCAGTCTCACAGGGAAGCCCAGCCTCTGTCCCTACAGAGCTCCTACCCAGGGCAGAGGCAGAAGCTGTACTGGAGGGGACACAGGCTCCTCAGGGTTAGAAGAAGAGCAGGAAGTGCCACTAGGAGGAGGCAGGACAGGGGAGGAAAGGATAGGCAGGGAGAGCAGCCCCTGGGGTGAGAAGAAGCTAGAAGAGAGGGTGTCTAGGCGGAGGCTAGGATGTGCAGTGCCTTGGTGCCGCAGTCAGGAGCGCAGGCTCGACTCTGCATAGGGAAAGGAAGAGCCATCTCTCTCCTCTGGTTAGGGTGTCCTGGTGGCTTGCTCTTCATCACACCCGGCATCTTAGTGGACACAAACTAGGTGGCCTGTGATCCACTTCCATCCTGACACTGTATCCTGGTATGAGGTCCCACAGGTTAAGGGCTCAATTCCATAGACTGCCCCTACTTCAGGTCCTAATTGGAAGACCCAGATTGTGACCTGTGCTTCTGATGGACAGGTTATAATCACAGTTCCCATGACCCCGCTTTTGGAACTTGATAATTGGTTAGGACATCTCAAGAACTTGGAAAAGTACTTACATTTACTGGTTTATTATGAAGGGTGTAAAGGATACAGACGAGTGGCCAGATGGAAGGGAGGCCCAGGGCAGGGCTGGTGGGAGGGGTTGGAGTCCTTATCTCCTCTGGACCCACCACCCTCCCAGCGCCCATCAAATCTTGCCCAAGAATTTATTTTACAGAGGTGGATCTGCAGCTTCTCCCACTTCCCCCTCACTGCCTCTCTGGAGGTGGGTGGTCTTTCCAGTCTACTTGAACTTTGTGGCAGTGGCAGCTGCCATGCTGGCCCACCTGGACCTGATACTCCTTTCTCCATTTGACATAGGAGCCCTTAGAGTTCACTGATTTTTTTTTTTCCCCTGCATGTTTCCTCCCTCATCTCAATATTTTCCTCTTCAGGCACCTCAGAGTCCCTGGTTGCAGGCTTCTGGGTGGCCAGGCCGGTTCTGGACTTCGCAGCCCAGACTCAGCAACATGCCCGGCCTGAACAGTCTTGAGACTATGGAGATGGATGTGGTAGGATTTGTGCTTTTAGAAAATCCAGTCTTGACACGAGAAGACCAGTGTATAAATAAGTGATTTCTTATGCCAGCTCAGCATAGTAGAAGGGCTATGGCCCTGTGGGGCAGCTGCATCACTTGCCTAGTGGAGTTGTTGGCACGATCCCACGCAGTGACAGACAGGGCCCATCATGGTCCTTGGTGCCTGGAGAGGCCCACAAAGTGGTGGCTGCTGTTGGTAGTGGTGATGCTCACTGCAGACCACTTGGCAGCTAGTGGATGTGTGCACTCCGTGCAGTGGGACTGCCAGAGAACAGCTTTCAGGGAGGGGGACAGTGACAATGACTGGGGAAGCACCCCACACACACATACACAAGATAGCACATTTGCACTCAGCCTGGAACTTGAACAAGAGATTGCCTAAAGGAGGAGGTCCAGAGGGACATCTTGGGCAGAGTGACAGCCAGACAGTAGCCTGGAGGCCTGGTGGAGCACAGCTGGCTTAGGAGTCTGGCAGGGAGGGGCTCATCGATGATTTGAGACAAGGAAGCATTTGCCAGAAAAGCCAGGTTGGATTGTTGAGGGGACAGGAGGCAAGGAGGTGGCAACAGCAGCTATGTGTCTTGTTCATGGGCTCATGCCTGAGAGGGAGGTGCCAGGTTGAGCTGGGAGTCTGGAGCAGGTATATGGACTGAGAGGAAGCAGGTGCAGGAGAGGCTGAGGAGCTGAGGCAGCAGTTCCAGGGGAACAAGGGGAGGAAATTGAACCCTGCATCCAGGTAGAGGTTTGGTTCTGGTAGGAGAAGCAGGGCTGAGGACAGGAGAGGAGGCCTGCGGACAGGAGAGGAGGCCTGCTAAGAGGAGGCTGTGGTCCCCCTTCACGCGCACCTTCACATGCCTTTCCTTTGGAAGGCCACCCACAGGGGTCGTTAGCATTCACGCCAAGCCCACTCCTCCAGGAAGTCTTCCCGGGGCTCTCCCCAGCATGTCCTTGGCTTCTGCACTTCCTCAGCACAGCATCTGCTCCACTCCAGGCCGCTGAAGCAAGCCTTCAGAGGTCAGGGACCCTGACTCTGCCCCCAGTGCCTGCCTGGCCCAGGAGAGAGGACAACAGAGTCTGGCCTGGCTCTGGCCTGCCGAAGCCTTACTCCTCCCCAGCATCCCTGCAGCTTCCTCCAGTTGCACTAGTCCCATGGGAGTTGCAGATTATCTGGGCCAGGTCACCATAGCCACATGCTAGACTCCATGCAGCTGCTGCCCCACAGCAGATCTCTACCCTGGAAGTGAGAGCTTGTGAAAGTCTAAATGTATGACTGGTGCAATGCGCAGGTGGTCAGCAAGCTCCCGCCCTCTGGGCATTGCTCTCCTGGCTCATTACTGTAGTTGGCCAGCAAGGAGCAACTCAGCTGTGTCCTCCCAGGTCCAGGGTAGGAGAGAGCCTCAGTCCGTGGCCCTGGAGAGGAAGAGGTTGCTGGGAGCCTCACGCCCAGACAAACCCAGCCTGAGCCATCGAGGCTTGTTCCTCTTCCTCATCTGAGGTCTTCCCACCATAGCACATCTCCCAAGGCCTGACAGGCCCCACACCCTGCTTTCTCCACGCCTTAGTTCCTCCTGTGTGGGCAGCTGACGAGTTTGACCTGCCACGCACCTCTTCCCACAACCGCATTGAGGTGGTAGTTGTGACATGACGCTTGAAATACCCTCCTTGCCTCTGTCCCCCTCTTTCCTTCCTCTGTGGTCTGAGATACCCACGCTGGGCCTTGTGGATCAGGAGCGCCATGCGGAGCTGTCCTTCCCCACTTCCCAGCAGCTCTGAGATGACATGTATACACTGTGGTGCTATGTGGTCCTGGGTCCAGCCAGGGCAGTTATGGGCAACAGCATGTTTCTTTTGCTACCTTTGCTGCCAGACACTGGGTCTCTGAGGGTCACTGACCTCTAAAGGGGCCACCCTACTTCTGCTGATCCTCTTTCACTGCAGGTGCTTGCCCACCTAGGATGCCCTCCACTCTGACTTCAGAGCCGAGCTCCCTGTATTTGTTTGGCCTTTGGGGAGTTGAGTCAGCCCTGAGAAGGCTGTCGCTTGAACTCTGTGGCCCCGCACTGACAGACACAGGGCCTCATTATATTGCTATGATCATGGGGGGCAGAACTGTGTGGCCGTAGGATAGGGTAAAGTACACCCCACAATGGGATGTGGATGAGGCCAGGAGGCAGCCTGCATCTTCCAGGGTGGAGCAGGCTGGAGGGATGAGCAAAGGGTTTGACTTTGAAAACTGAACACAGGGTACAGTTACAAGCAAGAGACTCAAAATTAAGGCTTCCTTCAGCCCAAGGAAGTACCACAAGGACCTCAGAAGCCTTTGCCAGTCTGTTTCAGACTCCTGGCCCTGACCTTCCTCACGCTCTCTTGCACCAAAGAAGGCAGAGTGATGCCAGTCTCCCTTTGTTTGTCTGCATCATGGGTGAAGGGTCAGGCCCTCTGCTGGGACAGCCTTTCTTTCTGTCCAGCTATTGTGGGGACCACAGTGGAATCTGACTCTGGCTTTGGTTTCAGTGGGCCAGGTGAATTACCCGAAAGTAGCAGACAGCTCTTCCTTTGATGAGGACAGCAGTGACGCCTTATCCCCTGAGCAGCCTGCCAGCCATGAGTCCCAAGGGTCAGTGCCATCACCCCTGGAGGCCCGAGTCAGCGAACCACTGCCCAGTGCCACTTCCATGTCCCCCACTCAGGTAAGCTTGCCCACTCCCAGACACTGCTGCTTCCCCACACTTCTGGGGGCTGTGTAGTGTAAGCTGTCCCCTAGGCCACATAGGTGGCTCCTGCTCTGACACAGGGGAGCCAAAGGGTGTTGCCTGGTAGTCTGGGCACTCGTTGCTTGGGTTTCCAGTGGTGAGGAGGGAGGTGTTGACAGTGGCCCTCCAACTCTGGCAGCCTGAGCAACCTTGGGCCCTAGAGAGGGCCAGCGGGGCAGGCCATCTTTCCTGTAGACGCACAACCTCCCTGCCCCACCCCCCCCACCCCAATCACTCCTTCTCAGTGCCTCCTGGCCCCAGTGCACTTGGTTCAGCAAGACGCCACCACCCCACCAGGCTGGTCACGCTTGTTCTTTTTCCCCTGGTCTTGGCCCATCATTTGCCCTTTGGCCACGATGGTGTCTGAGGAGGTGGCTGCCACCCCCATTGCTGGCAAGGTGGGCTGGGCACGCTTTACCTGGAGGTGCTGATGTCCTCACTTCCCCTCCTCTTTCAGGTTCTTTCTCAACTCCCTATGCGCCCGGATTCTGGAGAAACGCTTTTCTTGTCAGAGCAGCCTCCTCTGCCTCCCCCGCCTCTGCTGCCCCCCAGCCTCACCAATGGAACTGCTGTCCCCACTGCCAAGTCCACTCCCACGCTCATTAAGGTACAGTTATGCTAGCAGTTGTACCATCCCCTTCCCCATGCCCCTCAGAGCCCTGTGGTGACCTCATTCTAGCTATGGGGACAGCTGCAGGGGTGCAGCACATGTCCTCTACCAAGGTGCCTGAGGGAGTCTGGACGTACCCTCCGGGTCTCTCACCTATGGTGCTGCTTGGAGGCGCAGTGCTGGTGAGCACGGCCTTTGCTGCAGACTGGCTACGTCATAAAGAGGAGAGGTTTATTTTAGCTCAGGTACTGGAAGGTCTAAGGCCATTTGGTGTTGGCCTTGGTACTGGCAGAGTCCCAGGGCAGTCAGGGCATTGCATGGTGAGAGATGAGAGCGCACACATGTGTCCTGGTGTTTCTTGACGAAGTCACCAGGGTCTAGTCAGGAACCCACCCAGATGACCTTGTCTAACCCTAATCACCTCCCGAGACCCAGTTCTAAGCACCACAGGTAAATGTCCATCCTCTAACACAGTGGGCTTCCCCTCCAGCCTGAGTGGGGGGTGGGGGACAGGCCACTGTAAACCACAGTGTGCTAGCCGGGCCGGCTCCTCGGCTCTTGTTCCCACTCTCATCCATGAAGAGGCACCCACACTCTACCTCCTCACTCCGCAGTGCCTGTGGCATCAGAGAGCCCTGTGCTTCAGGACAGGCCTGTGGCTGGCCCTGTTGCTGTTGGTTTTCTTTTTCCAAGACCTGACCTGAGGGAAGGAGGGAGGGTGGAGGACACTGCTGGCCTTGCATGCACAGAAGCCTCCTGTAAACTCGGCAGTAGGGAGGGCCACCCTGGGTCCTGCAGCCCTGCAGAACCCCCCGACTTCCAGGATTTAGGGGGCTCTACCCCCAACTTGCTTTCCTCTCCTGCTTTCTGTCCTGTCCTTTCCTCTTCTCTAGGCTCCATCCTCACCACAGACACTGCACCTGGCTTGACCACCCCTAGCCACCTGCAGCTCCCCTGGCCACAAGTCTCAGGAGAGGCCAACACATCCTGGAGGCTACCTTGTCTTCATTCTTAGGCTTTTGTTGAGCCCTGGCTTGGCCCTGGAGGCTGCCTGCCTCCCAGGGAGATACCCCCAGTCCTGCCTTTTTTGGTGCATGGCTGTGTGTCACCTCTGGAGGCTGTCCCCCAGCTCCTGTGGCCTGCGCTCCAGCTTCTACCCCAGGCTGAAGGAGCAGTCAGCCACCTCTCCTCCCAGCTTCAGCTGACGCCTGTCAGAGCCCTCTCAAATCTCTGCTCTCTTTCTTACCCTTGCTGATGTCACAGCCCCCCCACTCCCACCCCCAGCTCTTCTCTTAAGCTTGCTCCTCAAGACACCCTGTGGTCTTCGTTTGACCACCACACATTTGCATATGAGTGGTCCCTCTGTGCTCTCCTCCTCCCAGCCCTGGCTCCTCACCCACACACATTCATGTTCTGTGTTCATGCCTTAGTGGATCACCTCCACCCAACCTTTTGTGTTACATTGCCACCTTGGTTGAGACCTCAGCTGCTCCTGCTTGGTCTTGACCCTGCTGTTGCCCTCTGCTCAGACACTTCCTGGCTCCCCACACCCTTCAGCTCTCCCCTGCTTACTCTTGCTGTCCTCCATCTCTGCCTTCCCTGCTCTAAGGACAGGCCTTCCAAGCATGACCTGCTGGCCCTTCTTGGTCACCCTTGTGGATCTCTGGCTGTGCCAGCTGGGAGCTTCTGGGATATAAACAGGGTCATGATCCAGGTCCTGGCTAGATCAAGATGGTCACTGTACGTCCTTCTGTGAGCTTCTCTCTGTGACTTCTCTGAGCCCGTTTCTCCTTCCTTCTTTCCTCCCTCCCTTCCATCCATCTGTCAGACTGAACCCAGGAGCGCTGTACCACTGAACCACGTCCTAGCCCTTTTTTATTTTTTATTTTGAGACAGAGTCTTTCCAGTTGTTAGGGCCTGGCTAAGTTGCTGAGGCTGGCCTCAGCCTCCTGAGTTGCTAACCTGCCCCCTCTGGCATGGCCCTTGCTCCACAGACCAGCTGTGGTTTTGCCTCCTCTTGTCACCCTCTGCCTGGGGGCACAGCAACATCTGAGCCTGTGTGTTCAATCGAGGTTACCTACAGGCCACGCAGCTCTGTTGGTTGAAGAGGCTCAGTTGAACAGGAGGGGGGTGCGCAGGTGGGGCTTTCTTAGCAGTGTCTCCCCGTCCCAGCTAGCCCCAACGCTGTGTCCCCTGTTTCCTCAGCAAAGCCAACCCAAGTCTGCCAGCGAGAAGTCGCAGCGCAGCAAGAAGGCCAAGGAGCTGAAGCCAAAGGTGAAGAAGCTCAAGTACCATCAGTACATCCCTCCGGACCAAAAGCAGGACAAGGGGGCGCCTGCCATGGACTCCTCCTACGCCAAGATCCTGCAGCAGCAGCAGCTCTTTCTGCAGCTGCAGATCCTCAACCAGCAGCAGCAGCACTACAGCTACCAGACCATCCTGCCCGCCCCGCCCAAGTGAGACCCATGCCCCAGGGCCGGGCCCCATTGGAGGGTGCCACACAGGACCTCCCTGGTCTGCCTGCAGGGCCTGGGCCCCACAGTCCTCCATCCTAAACCTGCAGCCGGGGTTCAGGCCGCTGCCTGCAGGGGCCAGTGGTGATGCTGGCTTGGCTCACTTCCACCTTTTCCTTTCTCAGGCCAGCAGGTGAGACTCTGGGGGGCTGCGGGGCCCCTGCAGTGCGCAGCCTCTCTACCACCAGTGGTGGCTCTGGATCAGGCCCTCCAGGATCAGGTGGACTGACACGTCAGAACAGCACCCCCCAGACTGGCAAGCCGGGAGCCCTGCCAGCCAACCTGGACGACATGAAGGTAGGTGGCAAGCCATCCCCTCTCCACTGGCAGACCCGAGCCCCTGCCTCCTGGCCTCTCCCACAGGAGCTGGATTTTATACAAAGAAGACACAAGGCCCAGGAACCCCAACTGTGAGAGGCAGAACAGGGCTCCAGGCTCTGGACTGCAGTGACAGGGCCACTTGGAACCTACCCTGGGGCCTGTCTGAGGCCATGGCAACATCCTGAGGTCACTTCCCCCAGCAGCCCACCAGTCAGTCATGTGCCTCATGTCTTCCTGCACCTCTGCGGTGCAGGTGAGCAGCGGGTCTCTTCCTCTTGGACGACGGGCCAGGCAGAGGTGTTGGGAGACAGCAGCGTGCCCAAGGCTGCAGGCCTCTCAGAGGCAGCCAGGGTGTGCAGCCCCCTGCCCCTGAGTGCCCGCTGAATCTGCTGTTCTCTGCTGCAGCTTGCTCTGGGTTCACACTTAGCTCATGTCCTGGGGGCCTTGAAGTGGCTCCTTCGGTGCCCATCAAAAAATGACCAAATTCTCCCTGGAGAGCTTGTTCCCAGGATCAGGTGGGTCCCTCCTGCATCCTGACCCAGACACCAGCAAGATGAGGCTCATGGAGACAACTAGCATGGTTTGGGGGTTTAGCCTGAGTTTTAAGTCCTGGCCTAGCCACTCATCACTACCTCTGTGATTTTGAAATTGTTTTTCCGGGTGGCTCAGGCTCTTCACCTGTAGAATTTAGTTCATCCAGTGAAGTATTACTGAGCACCAAGCACCATGCTGGAGGCTTGGGGGAAGCACCTGAGCCAGCACCTGCTGTGTTTAGGATGGTGAAAGGAGGACCCTGGGAAGGGCTGGAGAGCCCGGGGTCTGCGCCTGCCATGGCCAGGGGCCCAGGGGCACGAGGCCTGTCTCGCAGACTCTTCACCCTTCTATCTCAGCAGTCTGTCCTGATGCCTGGGTCCATATCCCTCTGTTCCTTTCCCAGCCCCTGGCCACCCTGACTCTCATCCCTGCAGGTGGCGGAGCTGAAGCAGGAGCTGAAGCTGCGGTCACTGCCCGTCTCAGGCACCAAGACAGAGCTGATTGAGCGCCTGCGAGCCTACCAAGACCAAGCCAGCCCAGCCCCTGCAGCCCCCAAGGCTCCTGCTGCCACCTCTCTCCTGTCTAAGGCTGGCGAGGTGGTAGTTGCCTTTCCAGCAGCCCGACTGAGTGCAGGGCCAGCCCTGGTGGCAGCAGGCCTGGCCCCGGCTGAGGTGGTGGTGGCGACGGTGACCAGTAATGGTGTGGTCAAATTTGGCAGCACGGGTTCCACACCCCCAGTCTCCCCCACCCCCTCAGAGCGCTCACTGCTCAGTACGGGTGATGAGAACTCCACGCCTGGGGACACCTTTGGTGAGATGGTGACATCGCCGCTGACACAGCTCACCCTGCAGACCTCACCACTGCAAATCCTTGTGAAGGAGGAAGGTCCCCGCACCACACCCTGCTGCCTGAGCCCTGGCGTGCGTGTGGAGATGGAGGGTCTGGACAAGGACCAGATGCTGCAGGAGAAGGACAAGCAGATCGAGGAGCTGACGCGCATGCTCCGGCAGAAGCAGCAGCTGGTGGAGCTGCTCCGGCTGCAGCTGGAGCAGGAGAAGCGGGCCCAGCAGCCCACCCCGGCTCCCGCTTCCACCACGGTCCCACCCAGCACCCCCGTGAAGCAGGAGAAGAGCTTCTCCAGCTGCCAGCTGAGCCGCCAGCCCCCAGGCACCACTCACCCCTTCAGCCCTGGCCTGGTGGCCCCCACTGCCAACCACAGAGACACTGGTGCCCCAGCCCTAGGGCCTCCAGCTGTGGTGGTGAAGCAGGAAGCCATGCCACCTGAGCCGGAGGTGGCCCCTACCCCTCAGCTGCTCCTGGGCCCACAGGGCACTGGCCTCCTCAAGGGGGTCACCCCGCCCACCCTCATCACCGACTCCACAGGGACCCACCTTGTCCTCACTGTGACCAATAAGAATGCAGACAGCCCTGGCCTGCCCAGTGGGAGTCCCCTCCAGGTAGCTGGGGCGGAGGAGGGCAGGTCTTGGAGAGCTTGGGGGTGGAGGGGAAAGTGACAATAACTGGCACCATGGAATGGGAGACAGCCACCCCTGAGAAAGGCTGTAGAATTCTCGGGGTAGAATCAGCCCAGAGAAGCCATTGCCTGTGCTGACCCTTTGCAGGATTAGGGGCCAATGCTCAGAGTCCCTTCTAGGAGAGCTCCAGAGCCCTGCTCCCCTTCAACCACTGTTCTCCCCTATTGTTCCAACCAGCCCTTGTCCCAGCCTGGCTCTCCAGCCCCTGGCCCACCTGCCCAGATGGATCTGGAGCACCCATCACAGCCCCCTTTTGGGACTCCAACTTCTCTGCTGAAGAAAGAACCTCCAGGCTATGAGGAGGCTGTGACCCAGCAGCCCAAACAGCAGGTGACAATGACAGGACTTGGCCAGGGTGGGTGGTACCCTAGGACCACCTGGAGGGATGGACAGGCAGAGGCCAGTCTGTGGTCAGGAGGCCTTGGGGAGTTACTGGTACAGGATAGGCATCTGATCCTGGGCCACAGAACTGTGGTCCGGCTGCCCATTTGGGGACTGGGGTGCGGGTGTCTAGGCTCAGGCCAGGCCTGAGGGTCTCCTGACCTAGATTTTTATTTTCATCTTTTTTTTTGTAGTTGTTTATGGACAGCATGCCTTAATTTTATTTGTTTATTCTTATGTGGTGCTGAGGATGGAACCCAGTGCCTCACACGTGCAAGGCAAGTGATCTGCCACTGAGCTGCAGCCCCAGCCCTTTTATCTGGTTTTGTCCCACAGGAAAACAGTTCCTCAAGCCAGCAGATGGATGACCTGTTTGACATCCTCATTCAGAGTGGAGGTAAAGCCCGGACCCCCAGCCTCCCTTTGTTCACAGGTTATCTATATAGCTTAAGGTGGTTTGGTTGATTTCTCTTTGCTTCTTTCTTTTTCCTGTGCTGGAGATGGAATCCAGGGGCGCTTAACCCTGAGCCACATCCCCAACCCTCTTTATTTTTTGAGACAAGGTTTTGCAGAGTTACTTAGGACTTCACTAAGTTGCCGAGGCTAGTCTTAAACTTGATCCTCCTGCCTCAGCCTCCTGAGTTGCTGGGTGCCACCGTGTCCACAGCGAACCTTGGGAGGGATGCTGTTGCCCAGGAACAGAGACTGAGGAGGAAAAGGGGGTGATCCTTGAATTCTAGTATTTTAAAAAATGGCAGAAAAACAGATGAGGTGTGGCCTGCCTCAAAAGGTCACTAAAGCGGCAAGAATCCCGAGAGGAAGGTATTTGAAAGTGGCAGGTGGTGATGGCTGGAGGCTGAGGCTCCTTGTCTAGTGAAGCAGCTGCAGGGGAAGGTGTTCAGTTGGGACAGTAGGGACCTAGACTGGGGTCAGGGAATAAGCCTAGTTCTATGTAGTAACACATTCATTATTGTGATAAGTAAGATGTATATAATAACAGAATCTGCCATTCTGACCACCTGTAAATATAAATTCAGAGGCATTAAGTATGTTCTGATGTGTGCCACATTGCTTCCGGAACCTTCTCACCCCAAACTGAAACTGTATCCATTAGATAGAAACTCCACATTCTCCTCGCCCACTAACCCCTGTTCTGCTATCTCTGATTTCGACAAAGTGCCTCACATAAGTGGAATCATAGTTGTCTCTTTGTGGTTTATTTCACTTGGCACTGGGTCTTCAAGGTCCATCCGGTCATCTGTCGGTGGACGTGGGGCTGCTTGAGTTGCTGTGAACAGTGCTGTCATCCTGAGTGTCTGAGGGTCTCTCTGAGATACCACTGCTTTCCATTCTTTGGGATGTGTACCCAGAAGCAGGACTGCTGGATCATATCGTTTGTTTTTGTAGAGCCTACCCAAGCTTTTTCCCTAAGTAGCTGGACCATTTTACATTTCCATTAGCAGTGCACTAGGGTTCTCATTTCATATCCTCACCAACGTTGACTTCCTTTTTGGTGTTGGAGATCAAACCCAGGCCCTTGTGCATTCCAGCCATGTGCTGTACCACCTCCCAGCTCCTTGCCACTCCTCCTTCTCTGTTGTTTGGATAATAGCCACTCTATTGGGTATGAGGTAGAATCTCATGTTTGGATTTGCATTTCCCTGATGACTGAGATGTTGAGCATCTTTTCATGTGCTGTTGGCCTTGTGTGTGTGATGTCTGGAGGTGTCTCCTCTTGACCCCGTCCCCCAGGACTGGAGGCTGGACCCATGGTGCTTCAGCACTCAGCTACACCCCTAGCCTTTTACTTTTGTCTTAAGACAGGGTCTCCAAGCTGAGTTGCTGAGGCTGACCTTGAACTTGCAATTCTCCTGCCTCAGCCTTTCAAGTAGCTGGGGTTATAGGTGTGTGCCATACCACATTCAGCATTTTTGGAAAAAATAATTTGAGTACTTTGCCCATTTTGAATCAGGTTGTTTTCTGTTATAGTTCTTTATAAATCCTGGGTATTAATCCCTTATCAAATATGATTTGCAAGTATTTCCTCTCATTCTGTGAGAAGCCCTTTCACTCACTCTTGGTGTAGTGTCCTTGGAGGTACAAGTCTTAACTTTTGATGTAGTCTAACTTGTCTGCCTGTGCTTTTGCTGTCACAACCAAGAAATTACTGCCACATCAGTCATAGATTTCCCCTTTTCTCCTGTTTCATAGCTTTAGCTTGTACACTTAAGACTTTTATTTTATTCTTCTCTATAGTATGAGGTAAGGGTCTTTCTGATCATTATTTGGCATTCATTCAGGCCTGGTTTCTGACATCAATGCACTGTCTCAATTGGCAGAAATTTCAGCAGATTTCAAGGAACCACCGTCTATACCAGGAAAGGAGAAGCCACCCTCATCAGCAGCCTGCAGTTCCCCGCTGGTGACACAGCCCTCGCCTTCCCCTGACCTTCCCCAGGCTGCTCCCCCTCCACCAGCATCACCTGCCCTCCCAGGGCGCCTGGAGGACTTCCTGGAGAGCAGCACAGGGTTGCCCCTGCTGACCAGTGGGCATGAAGGGCCAGAGCCCCTTTCCCTTATTGATGACCTCCACAGCCAGATGCTGAGCAGTGCTGCCATTCTGGACCATCCCCCATCCCCCATGGACACCTCAGAATTGCACTTTGCCCCTGAGCCCAGCAGCAGTGTGGGCCTGGACCTGGCCGATGGCCACCTGGACAGCATGGACTGGCTGGAGCTGTCATCAGGTGGCCCCGTGCTCAGCCTGGCACCCCTCAGCACTGCAGCCCCCAGCCTCTTCTCCACGGACTTCCTTGACGGCCATGATCTTCAGCTACACTGGGATTCCTGCTTGTAGCTTTCTAGCTCTGGACACCAGGGATAGGGAAGGGGCTAGAGTTGGGGAGCCAGGGAACTGCAGCTAGCAGTTCTGTGCAAGGCTCTGTGTGGTTTGAGTCTTGACAATCACAGACCCTGCTTTCTCCCTTCCCTGGAAGGTTGGAGCAGTTGGGCCCTACTCCTGGCTCAGGCCCACCCAGGGCAGAGATGACCTGTCAAGCAGCAGCTCTGGGTCCCACACTGGGGCACACTGGAGGCCTGGACAGGCCCAGGGCCATTTCAATTTGACCTCCTTTTTGAGGTCAGAGTTGTACTGTGTGGCTGCAGTTTGGCTAAGGCAGGTGAGGACCTGTCCTGAGAATCCTCTGCTGGTCTAGGGCTGAGCTGGGTCAAGGGCTGACTTTTCTTCCTTCTCTTACCCCTTTGCTGTGAGAGAAGAAGCTAGCCTGGGCCTGTACTCCATTCCGTGTATCAGCTGGCCAGCCCCAGGGCCCCAGGGCTTCCTGAGAGTTGGGCCCCCTGCCATTTTACTGTCTTGATGTAGTGTAACCATTTAGTGGTTGGTTGGCAAGATTTTCTGTACAGGTGTATGTATATATACCTCTATATTATATAACATACATATATACATTTATTTGGGGGGGGGAGGTGGGAGATGGGTGTGGCTCCCTCCCTTCCTGTTTTCACATATACATGGGCCAGGAGGGTTGCTGGGGGCTGGATACAAGGTCATATTGAGCTGTGTGATATACAGTGCCCAGTACCCAGCCTGGTGTGCAGCTGCCTGGGCCCACCCACCCCTCACGTGTGTTTGACATGTAGATATCCTGCCACAGCGTGCACCCCACCTGTCCTGCTTTCTCAGTGCCAAGAGGGCAGAGGTGCTTCCTGGTCCTGTCAGGAGCTCTCCACCCACCCACATTCCGTCCCATTGCCTCACTGCAGCCAAGAGGGCCCTGGGACAGGGGACCCAGCTCCACCTTGCTGTTGGGCTGACAGGGGGCCACTCACTGGCTGCCTCCTGTCCTGGGGCCACTGGCCTCACTCACTTTTGGCCTGATTCATAAGGGGAATAGGGATGGCGTCTCCAAAACCAGTGCTGGGACAAAGGTGGGGAAGCTGTGTGAATTTTTTAAAATAAAACAAAAACACCCACTTGTGTGTCTTGTTTCATCCACAGAAGGTAAGCGGTTGTGATAAAGGAACCTGTATCTGGAGGCCACACAGTGACCCCCATCTCAGCTCCTTGTCAGGCTGATTGGGGGGCGGGGGGACTGCAGCTCTGCAGCCTGGCTGAGTGGAAGAGGGGAGGCGCTTTTCTTAAAGAGTTGTTTATTTACAAACAAAACCAGAGGTCAAGGGGGTCTTTATCTGCCATTAAACACCCCCGCTTCCTGAGCAAAGACAACAGATGCAGCTCACCACCACCTCATAAGGTTTTTGGTTAATATGAACTGTGTAGCTGGCCAGGGCTTCCTTAGGGCCCTGGGAGGGAAAGGCTGAGCTGGGCACCCTCCTCCTACCAACAGTGGGAACCTGTAGTAAGAAACCCTGAACCCTGGTCATGGGCCCAGACATGGCTCTGGAGTTTTCTCCTTCCCTGGACCCCACAGCTTAGCAGGTGATATCTCTTCCTGTTTGAAGGAGGGGCCTGCCTGGGTGGCTGGGGGAGGCCTGGGCCTGAGAGGGCGGCTGCAGAAGCATCACCCATCTATGTCCCAGCTGAAAAGGTGGTGCTTCACCAGCATGTCCTGAACACCCTCCTTGAGTGGCTGCCTCTCTTCCTGTGTACAGGTACAGGAGAGCCTATCAGATGGGGGCCGGGCCAGGGCAATCCCCAGAGCTGATGCACTCACAGGTCTCCCCTGGACCCCAGCCATGCCCAGAACCCCTGGGGGTGCTCCCCCAGCACAGGCCCCGGGCCCCAGCCCTCCTGGGGAAAATAGGGCTAGGGACCAGCCACACACCACCCACCTCTCTCTTTGCAGGGAGCTCCCAGTCCTGGGACAGGCTGAAGGCAAAACAGCAGAGGACCCTAGGGGGTGGGGGTGGGAGGCTCTCATCACCCTGGACCATCTTGCCCACCTCCCACCCCAAATCCAAGGGGTCTACAGGGCGCGCCATCTGTTGAGCCAGTCTCACCGGAGCTCGCACTTGATCTGGACCCAGCCAGGGCTGCGCAGGAAGGACCAGGGCTGATACCACTTCTCCACAGTGGGTAGGCTGGAGCAGAGCACCTCCAGCCACAGGTGCAGCACCTGCTCACTGGGTGACAAGGCTGGGAGGAGCAGGAGGCAGGGCCATGGCCCCCTGAAGACTCCCCCAACCTGCTCCCCTTCTCAGCTCCTGCACACACTCAGGGAGGCCAGAACTCAAAGTGCCAGATGCCCTGAGGATGCCTCTCTATTCTTTGGGGTCCCCTTTGAAGGTCCCTTTCCTGCCCACTTCTCTCCACTTACTTGAGCCCCACGCAGATCAGTGAGCGGAGCTTGACATCCATTTGTGCGTGTGCCGCATCGTGGGTCACGTTCACAGACTGCACAGCCTGAGAGGGGGCAGCTGTTACTGGAGCATCCTGCCAGCCACCGAGATGTCTCAGGCTGGCAGAGTGGCCACACTCACCCGGTAGAGCAGCTCCTCTGGGGTCAGGACTTTGCCATCCTCGTCCAATCTGAGGGGACCAAAATCCAGCACTGCCTTGTTGCTCTGGGCTCTGGGTCACCCCCGCCCTCCCACACAGGAAGGAGGATGCCAGGCAGCACCCATTACCTGTAAGTCTTACAGAGTACCAGGCGGGAATACACCGAGTCAAAGTCTCTCTCCACCTCCCGGCCTGCTGCCTGTGGGGACGGGAAGGGCTAGTGAGAGCCACAGGGTCCAACTGAGCACACACCTCCACCCTGAAAGTTCCTCTGCCCACCCCTAGGGCAAGCAGAGCATGGGATGGGCACCATGTGGGTAGGGGACCAGCAGCGACTCACCTCCTCAATGAATAGCCAGGGGTGGCAAGCACCCCCGAGCAAGGATGGCCTCTTCAGTCCATGTTCAAACAAGGCCTTGAGGGCTGGGCACAGGGTCCCTCGCACAAGGTCTGTGACCCCCTCCGTCACTGAATCATCCCCCGCAATGGAGTACTGATGGGGAGAATGTGTCTGAGAAGCTCAGACCCACACTTGCTGCCAGCCACCCTTTTCCCTGTCCTGTGGCCACTGCCACAAGCCAGGACTCGCTCAGGCCACACCCCTGCTGTCCCCAGGGTTGGGGCAGGAGCAGCCTTACCCTGTCTGCCTCTTACCTCTTTGCTCCGTTCGTCTAGGACTTCCACAAACTTGGCTGGGAACCAGCCTACGGGAGAAGAGGTCCCAGTGAGGGGCAGCCAGTGGCTGTTCTGACCCTTCCCCAGGGCTAAGGATATAGCTCTCCCTATAGGCCATGAGGAATCTGCGGGCAGGGTAGGGCGGCCAGGGGCCTTGGGCCAGGCAGCACAGTGGAGGACAGGCTGCGGCTAGATGTGGGCCTCACCTCTCAGGCCGTTGAGCTCTCCCACCCAGCAGTGCTCGTCCTTCTGAGACACGATCTACACAGAGAGGGGACAGGGCTCAGCCCATACCATGCACACACATCTCATGTCCCCAGCACATAGGTCTGGCCAAGACTCAGTATTTACAGAGCGGAACCTCTCGGCAGGTAAGGGGCAAGGCAGGGAGTCGGTGGCGGGGTGTGCTGAGCCCCCCCATACACACCGTGATGATGTCATTCCTGCGGAAGCCCAGCTCATCATCATCGTGTCGTTCAAAGTCTAGCAGGGCCTTTGCTCGACGCCGGTGACTGCGTGAACATGCCACATAGTTCTCATGGTCCCGCTGGTGGCTCTCCATGCTGTAGTCTGGGGTCAGCTCCTGCAAGAAAGGACAGAAATAGGATGCATGGAAGGCCCACCATGGTGGGGAAGCTTCAGTGCCAGGACCAGGCTGGGGAAGAAGAGCCCCAGAGTCTGGCCTGGGGAGCTGTCACTCACCACACTGCAGTTTTTGGGGTCTATGCACTGGAAATGGCGTGCCACGCGCAGGATGGCCTCTCGGAGGTCAGCCACCAGTTCTGTCTGCTTGATGTTTTTGGCCTTGAGGGCCTCCAGGTCATCCTCCCCTAGAAGGCAGAGAGTTCCAGTGACCGCCCCTGCCTAGGTCCCAGGAGAGGAAGCGCAAATCCACAATCCTATGTGAGGGTGCTGCCTGCAGTGCTCACCAAAGAGCAGGGAGGTGATGGCCGACTTCCTCCGCTGGGTCCTACGCCGAACAACCTACAGGCAGGAAGAGGGGGTCAGCAGGGCCAGCCCCCATCACAGAGGGGATGCTGACCCTCAGTATTTTACTAGTACTAACTCCTCTGAAATGGCCTGTGGCCAGCTCTGATGTGTTCAGGGCAGGCCTGTGCCCCTCCCAAACCAGGCCAGGCTCAGAGTGGCAGGATGCACAACATGGAGGAGGGCTGTGTCATCCTCTAGCAGTGGTCTGACTGGGCCATGCTGGGCCCTGGGTGCTGAGCTGGGGTCAGGGATAGAGGATAGCACAGCAGGGAAGGGCCAGTCTGCTCCCCACAGCCCTTCTCACTCTGGCTTTGAGGACCACCTGCTGTGGGCTGAGCCTGGGCTTGCTTAATGCACCTGAGAGAGGTTGGCAGCAGTGCCAGTTCCCAGGAGCTGGCCCTGGTCTGCAATGAGGTAGGCCAAATGCTTGCGGCGTTGGGTCTCCACAGCCACATCAGTGAGGGAGCCAGCCAGTCGCATGGCCTCCCCCAGGAGCAGCTCTGCATCTCCAATCTGTGATGGGATGTCTGACAGTGTGTTGAAGATGGAGGCAGAGTTCTCGGACTGGATCAGTTCTTCCTCCTAGACCACATGAGGACAAAGAGGGGAGGGGTCTTGCATCTGGCACTGTCCTTGGAGACTTAGGTCCTCTGGCATGGCTAATAGGGTAGGGGCTGGTTCTGCAGGGCCCAAGGAGATCCTCTAGCCACCCACAATCAGGGGCCTCAGCAGGGACCAGGGCTGGGCCACTCCTGCTGCAGCTTGGGTTGGTGCAGAAATGGAGGGAAGGGGATGTCCCCTGTGCCCACCAACTTTGGGCTCAGAGCCTGGAGCCCACCACATCCACCCAGAGGGGGGCACCATGGCCCCTGTGCCTGACACACGCCCCCTTCTTGGCCTGGAGACGGAGGCCTGGGAGCACCTTGAGGCGCAGCATGCCCAGCGTGGTCTGGAACAGCACCAGGGAGCCCTCGTAGAAAAACAGGTCCCAGATGCGCAGCAGCAGCTTGATGTGCACCACGCTGGCAAAGGCCGTGAGGAACCAATGCAGCGTGATCAGGGACAGCTCTGCAACAGATACCAGAGCCAACAGGGCTGGGGACAACAAGGACAGCCCACTTGGGGCAGCCTATGCAAGACACTTCCCAAAGAGTAGTGAGAGGGCAGAGGGGAAGGGATCAGAGAATACCACGGAACGAGGACATAGACTGCATGTTCCTATGTCCATGGCTGGGCCATTTGCCTATGTCCAGAGGCCTCAGAGCTCCAGCGTCCCAGGACCTGAAGGCTAGAGAGGAAGAGAGCTGCCAGGCCTTACCAATGTCGTGTTCCTGGAGCAGCTTGTCCAAACGAGGCAGGTACTGGACAATGAGATGGCGCAGGACTCGCTGGTCAGTCTGAACACCCAACAAGGTGGTGCTGAAGTAGGAGGCAGGGAGCAGGTCCTCAATGATGGCACACATCATCCAGAACGCATCCTCCTCCTCCAGGAACAGCAGGAGGCAGGCAGCCACCTGGCCAGGGAAGAGGGACAAGGGACTTCTACCCAAGTCTCCATGTGAGTAAGGTCAGGAATTCCCTCTGGGGAGACTAGTCAAGAAAAGCCTTTTGGGAACACTCCCGGAGACATTCCTTCTCAGGCTGTGGAGGGGCCTGCCTTATTTCAGGTCCCCAGGGCTCTGTTTTAACAGCAGAAGCAACTGTCCTGGCCTTCCTTGGGGACTGTCATCACATATCCTATTAGGGGGCCTGGAGAGACCCTTGGGTACAAGGCCTAGCCCCACTAGCCCTCCTGGGGCTGTGCTTACCATGCCTGTGCCCTGGCAGTAGCCAATTTCTGGGTAGAGCCAGGCCAGTGCTCGCAGGACTCTGCGCAGACGGGGCACCCCGATGCTGTTCACGTTGGCAAAGCAGGCATTGCTGGGCATGGTGCGCAACAAATCTTTCTCGATCTGTCAGGTACCCACGACAACCCCACAAGATGACCCTGTGAGACACAGCTGTAGCCTGAGGTCCACAGTAGGGAGTTTCCCCTCCTCCCTTCAGGATCAGATCCCAGGAAATGTGGCGCTAACTGTATCATAGTCACCTGGGAACTTCATGCCAGACCTACTGAAAAAGCCTGTGGCCTGGGGGTGTGTTTAAAATCCCCACCATTCCTAATGTGGACCCCATCTCCTCCAAGTCCTTCCACACACTGGGGACCTCTGGGACAATTCTCCCTGCAGCCTACAAAGGACCTAGGAGACAGCAAGTTTCCTCCAGGGTCATGTGTGTAGGTGACAGCACTGCTGTCCTTGCCAAGGAGACCAGTGAGGGCGTGCTCCAGGAACCCAGGTGACACCTCCCTCCCTCCACATGGTCTGCAGGCAGCTCCTCCTGCCTGTCCCTCGACCTTCCCACATTACCTGTTTGGCAGCAACAGTCTCATCATTAGAGCTGTTCTTCACGATCTCACGGTAGGACAACTCGGAGTTCCTCTTCTTCTGCAAGGCCCCAGAGAGCCGCATCCACAGCTGAGGGAAGGTGCCACAGGAGCACTCAGTCTTTTTTGTGACACCCGGTCAGAGGCTCTGAACCCTTTGTGACTCCCTGTGGCTCTCTCACCTGGGGTCTCATGCCATGTGGAATGCCAGCCAGCACCAGGGAGCGGAGCTTCTCAGAGCGGGGCAAGGAGACTGCAATCTTGTCCCAGGTGAGGTCTCCCACGTCATGATTGTGGGTGAACTCCAGGTGGGCCTGCCACCGAAGCCTCTGCGGGGGGTCTTCCACCAGAGAAGCCCCAATCAGGGGGCTGGATCCAGGTTCAGCACCTTCCACCAGGAGAGGGCAGAGGAGGGAGGAAAGCATGCTCCTTACTACATGCTCCCAACAGCCACCCTCCTGACAGGGCTAGGGGCTGTCTCCAGGCCGAGGAGGCTCCCTGAAACCCAGACTCTCTGCCAGCGCCTTTCCTAGGAGTTCCATTGCACAGCCCTCCTGGCTGTGAGCAAACCTGAGCTCTCACTCTCTGCCCAAAGCTGCCCAAGTCTAGAAACTACTACTCCATAGGCTCAGGCCTGAACCTCCAGGTCACCTTTGGCTCCTCCTCCTCCAGACCCAACCAGATATTCAATATCCAGATATTCAATCCACTGCAAAAATGGAAGGATCTGCCCTTTTCTTACCACCCCTAAGGCCCAGACCATGTCACAGTCCTTTGAGTCACAGCAGTGGCTGTCTTGCCAGCCCCATAGCAGTCACAGTGGCCCTTCCAGGACACATCAGATTATGTGGCTGCTCCTGACATGTCTCAGACAAAGCCAAAAGCCTTCCAGGTTCCAACTGACCTCACCTCCTGCCACTTTTCTCTTGCTCATTCCACTCTATGACATGGGCCCTCTTGCTGTCCCCGACCAAACTCACTCCAACCTTGGGGCTTTTGTGCCTGTTACTGACTTTCCCCAGAGAAACTTGCTCCCTCGCCTCCTCCTAGTCTTTGCATGTGTCTCCCCCTCTCAGAAACCTTGACAAAATCAACTCCCTTCTTTGCTATCCCCAGACTCACCCTTGTGGCTCTCACCCTAGCAGCTATGTGTCTGCTTGCTTACTACCCGTCTTCCACCAGAACGGGACCTCCATGTGGTCAAGACCACTTTTGTTGAGGTACTAGAGACACAGCTGGGAAGGGGCATAAGCCACCCTCCACTTTGTGAAATACTTGCTGCATGAGGGTCTCCTGCAGCCACCCAGAAACCTCTGTACCGCGAGCCCCACTGAGAGCTGCCTCCTCATCCATTTTAAGTCATGTCCTTGGCACAGTCCTCAAAATGTTAACCGTGACAACTTGACATATAAAAAGATACACAAATCTTAAGTACACCTTTTGAGGAGTATCAAAAAACAAATTAGTTCTAAACATTATTCTAGCATAGCGATGCACACTATGACTTTGAATCCAGTGATCCATCAAGATTCAGAGGATTTCTGTTATAACGCAAAGTTCCCTGTGTCCCTCTCAACTTCAGCTTTTAATTTCCAACTGTTCATCAGATGATCAAGCAAAACATATGTCAGAACTGGAAATGAGTGACCTAAAGATGACTGCCTCAGCCAAATGACATGCTCCAGTCATAGTTCTGGACTGCTGACAGGTTCTGGCATATGGCCCTCCCAACAGCCTGCAAGGGCACCCAACCCAGGGACCCACCTACAGAAACATGGCTACAAGAATATTATATTAAATTCATTATAATTGGATATGGAAGCACTATTGAAAAACATGTTTTCTTTTTTTTTTTTTTTAAGTTGTCAATGGACCTTTACTTTATTTATATGGTCTGAGAATTGAACCCAGTGCTTCACACATGCTAGGCAAGTGCTCCACAACTGAGCTACAACCCCAGCCTGAAAAATATGCTTTTAAAAAGGTCTTAACTGATACAGGAACTGCTCATGACATGATGTGCATGCAATGCAATCTTAGTTATGAAAAGTATATAAGGATGCACATAGCACAGCTAGGGAGGAAGGCACTAAGATGTCAGTAGTGATCTTCAGACTATGGGATCAGGAGCTAATTTTGTTTTAATCTTTATAAGTTACTGTATTTCCCAAATTCTCTACAATAAACATAATTGTTTTTATTATCAGGTGAAGATCAATATATTTCTTGGGGGGGTATTGGGGATTGAACCCAGGGATGCTCTGCCACTAAGCTATATCCCATCCTCCCCGTTTTTTGGGGTTTTTTTTTTTTTTTTTTGGTACCAGGGATTGAACTCAGGGGCACTTAACCTCTGAGCCACATCCCAGGGGCACTCAACCACTGAGCCACATCCCCAGCCCTATTTTGTATTTCATTTAGAGTCAGGGTCTCACTGAGTTGCTTAGCGTCTCACTGTTGTTGAGGCTGGCTTTGAACTTGCAATTCTCCTGCCTCAGCCTCCCAAGCTGTTGGGATTACAGGTGTGCGCCATAGCGCCCAGCTATCACATCCCTTTTTACTTTATATTTTGAGGAGGGTCCCACTAAATTGCCCTGGATGGCCAAGAACTCGCATCCTGCTAGGATCAGTGGTAGCTGGGATTACAGATGAACACCACTGTACCTAGCAAGATCAGTATTTAAACAAACAAACAAACAGAGGTCTCTGTTAAATTTTATGCAACACACAAATATGTAAAAACAAATCCCATTAATATGTACAAATATGATGCACCAATTAAAAAATGTAGAAAGGAAAAAAAAATCAGAGGTCTCCATATAGTTATAACAGTAGCAGTCTCATATGTGCTTCTGTTCTTGAGTCTTACTGGAACGGGTGACAAAAGGGGCTCAGAGGTCATGTGCTGTGGACACAAGGACATCAGCAAGAACACCTAGGGGGCTCCATCTTACCTTCTTTGTCCACCCGAAAACCAAACTCATCGTAGCAGAACTCTGGCTGCTCTGCTGACTCTTCCTTCTAGAACCAGGAACAGGGACAAGTTGTCTATCCCCCAGCCTGGGGCCAGTTTCCAAAAGATGCCACCCACGTGGCTAACTGCTAACTTCCACCCAGATCAAAGGCTACCCACCCTTTCAAAAAGGCTTCTCTGGTCATCGCTCACCCACAGGGGTCACTACCTGCTCTGAATTCTCCGAGCATTTTCTTTGTTGTTCTCAGAGTTCAAAGGTTAATAAGATCAATGCAAAACATATGTTTCATGCATTTCCATGTCCCAAAATTCTCTTCCTCCTACCTAATGACTGATTCACACAGGCACGTAGAACTAAGATGCCATCTCTGGTGGTGACCCTGAGGGCCTGTGTGAACATTGTGAAATTGGCCACCCACTCCTGGGCAGCCTGCAGAGGTGGGTCCCTTCATGCCACAGCACAGGAGCACAGCAGGAGGGTGCCTGGCTGCACTGACTGCTGTACCTGAGTATACTTGGCCAGGATCTCCTGGGGCCATATGCTTGGAGTCAAGGCTGAGAAAGGGCCACTAGCAGAAGGTATGTGGCTTCCTACAACAAAAAGGACCAGGGAGAAAACAACTAAGAAAACCCAGAGGCAAAATTCATGTCAGAAACCCCACCCCCTCAGTGCCAGCATTAAAGGGACTGGGCCATCTAGAGTAGGACTGAGGGGGAAGGAGGAATGGGAAGAACACCCTAGAAAGGAACATGCTTCTGGAAGAAGGGAGAAGGCAGCATCATGTCCCCCAACATAACCAAACCCCATTTCCATGCCCCAACCTCCATCTCATAAAGAAATTGACAGGGAAGAGGGAAACTGGAGACCTGAGCAGGTAAGAGTTATAGTATCTGTCCCAGACAGCCCAAAACCAGAAGCCTCCCTTCTCTTTCTCCATCTCTTTTATCTAGATGGCTGTTTCTGAAAATGGAAGTCAGTACCACTCTCTGGCTCCTGGTGAGGGCCCAGGCCCTGCTACCTGACATTGTGCTGAGCTGGCAGGTCTTCTGAGGATCCAGGCTTAGGCGTTTACTATCCTGATCTCTTAGAGATGAAAGGCTCCTCAGGCTTCATGGGCTCCAGAAACATGTGCCCTGTTAGGAGACCAAAAGGCACCATTATAGCAAAGGGGACCATCACTCTACAGCACCCCGTTTCCTGGGAGGGGATGAGCCCTCTCCACATGCAGTTTTCACTGGCCCAGTATAGTGGAGAGGGGAGTTGCCACACTGCTCAACATAAGGAAGGAAAAAAGTCACACCTTGCCTATTAAAATTTTAAATTAGGTTATGTTATGGCTTGGACATGAGGTGTCCCCAAAAAGCTCACATGAGACAATGCAAGAAGGTTTAGAGGAGAAATGATGGGGTTATGAGAGTCTTAACCAAATCAGTGAATTAATCACCTGATGGGATTAACAGAGTGGTGATTTAAGGCAGGTGGGGTATGGCTGGAGGAGGTGGGCATTGGGGGTGTGGCTTTAGGGTATATATTTGTATCAGGCTAGTGGAGTCTGTGTGTGCTTTCTGATCATCATGTGAGCCACTTCTCTCCACCACACTCTTCCACCATGTTGTTCTACCTCATCTTGAGTCCCAAGGAATGGAGTCTGCTATCTATGGACTGAGACCTCTAAAACCATGAGCCCCCAAATATACTTTTTAGTCATAGCAGCAAGAAAAAGCTGACTCAAACAGGCCACTTGGCAGGGTGTGCTGGCAAGTGCTTGTAATCCTAGCAACTCGAGAGGCTGAGACAGGAGGACCACAAGTTCTAGGCCAGCCTAAGCAATAGTGAGGTTCTAAGCAACTTGGTGAGACCCTGTCTCAAAGAAATAGAAATAAAAATAAAAAAGATAGCCAGGTGTGGGGCACATCCTTGTAATCCCAGCAGCTCAAGAAGCTGAGGCAGGAGGATCCCAGTGCAAAGCTAGCCTCAGCAACTTAATGACACTGTTAAATGAAATATAAAAAGGGCTGGGGCTGGAACTTCTTGAGTTCAATCCCTGGTACCAAATAATAGTAGTAGTAGTAGTAGTAGTAATAATAATAATAATAATAATAATAATAATAATAAAACGGCTGGCAATGTAGCTCGATTGGTTGAGCACCCTGAGTTCAGTCCCCAGTAATGAAAAATAAATAAATAAATAAGGTTATGTGTCTTTATTGTTGACTCCTTTTTTGAGAGAGGGGATTTGAAAGAAAGAGCCTCCTGTGTTGCTGGGGAGATATATTATTTTTTATTTTTTATTTTTTTTTAGAGAGAATTTTTAATATTTATTTTTCAGTTTTTGGGGGACACAACATCTTTATTTTATTTTTATGTGGTGCTGAGGATCGAACCTAGCACCCCGAGCATGCCAGGCGAGCGCATTACCGCTTGAGCCATATCCCCAGCCCCTAAATATTATTTTTTAGTTTTTTCAAATGGACACATCTTTTACACTTATGTGGTGCTGATGATGGAACTCAATGCCTCAAGCATGCTAGGGGAGCGCTCTATCACTGAGCCCTAGCCCTAGCCCCAAGGGGATACACTTTGAAGAAGCTACAAAGCTGATGTTCTCATAGCTTGTGGCCCAGCTCCCATTACACTAATGAAGGAGAACCAGGCATAGGGATTTCCACAGCAGTGTTTCTTCAGGAAGAAAGAAAACAAAGCCCAGCCACAATCAAACCTCTGGAACAGGTTTCCTGAGCCCCAAATCTTTGAGGACTCATTTAACAGAACACAACACATCTCCTGAGTAGACCTCCCCCAGTTGTCCCTCGACATTCCTGGGCCAGCGGTCCACGTTACCGTATTTTTTTTTAAAGACAGGTTTCGCCATGTACCCCAGGCTGGCCTCCATAACCTGGGCTCAAGTGACCCCCCTGCTTGAGTGCTCCTCCTCCCAGTCCAAGTGCTGGGAATACAAGGTTGAGTTCAACCACATTTTTCACTAGGCTTACAAGCTGGGAAGCCAAGTTAGAAACTGCAATCTAACTTTAATATCTTCTGTCATTTCTAAAGCCCTGTCCCTGACCGTTTTTGTCCTTCTTAAAAAAGAACTCAACAATAAAAAGGCAAATAGCCCAATTTAAAAATTGGCAAAAGATTTGAATATACATTTCTTTAAAGAAGAGATGCTGATGGTGGGTAGGCAATTAGCAAAATTTAGCCATTAGCAAAAAGGAAACACAGCCACTTCAAGGAAGAAAACATTATCCTTACTTGAGCATAAATTAAAAAATAGGTATGTGATGTGAACAAGTTCCAGTTCTCATTAAAGATTTTTTGCTAATCTGGGAGCAAAGGGCCATTCTGTAGTTCCTCAGGACAAGTCACCAACGTTTACTATTGCCCTAGACACATGCCGATCATGCCAAGTTTGAGCTAAAGGTCAAAGTAGAAAATTCCTGACCAACACAGAGGTACCTGGCAGGGAAGGGTGCTGCCTCCTGTCTGCAGACATGCTCTGCTGAGAACCAGAGGCCAGAGCCTGCTTTCCTACTGCATCAGCCATCCTAGGTTGGTTTGCTCTGTGTGAAGACAACAGTGAAAGCTTAGTTTTCTTTCAGTGTAACACATGCCGCGGGGCTTGATTTGATTCAGATTCTGAATTGAATAGAGAATTTTTTTTTTTTTTTGTACCAGGAATTGAACCCTTTACCACTGAGCCATATCCTCAGCCCTTTTTTATATTTTATTTAGAGACAGGGTCTCACTGAGTTGCTTAGGGCCTTGCTAAATTGCTGAAGCTGGATTTGAACTTGTGATCCTCCTTCCTCAGCCTCCCAAGCTGCTAGCATAACAGGAGTGCACCACTGTGTCTGGCTAGAATTACATATTTTTATATTAAAGGGAATGACAGAAGTAGAAATTTGAAAAATCTCATCAGGTACCACTAATCTTCACAGCACATTTTGGAATAGATATCATCTGTTTCACATACAAAAGAAAATAAGCCTAGAAAGAGACTAGTATACAGTTCCCAAAGGACTCCCAGAACTGTGCCTGTCACAGACACCATGTGTCTCCACCAGGTTCGCCACCTTGATAGCTCTGGGAATGCAACCCTGTGCTGTTAAAACACCCATTGGCTAAGAGCTCTGGGAGAGCTTACTGCAGTGGCAGTAGCACTCTTATTAGTGTCATACAGAAGCACTTCACTGCCTGTTCTCTGCACCATAATTCCAGTCAGGCCTGAGTTCCACCTCCCACATTTTCGATCCCCACTTATTACAACCCTGGCTAAGTTTACTTGGCTTCTTTGAATCTGTTTTCTTATTCATAAAATGGAATAATACCATCTCTATCTTACCAAGGTTACGAGGATTAAGCAAGATTAAGCAAGGCCCTTAGCACACTGACTTAATTATCAGGCAATTCATCAACCTAATAACTTCTAGAAAGTTACTGTTAGTATCTGGACCCTCTACGTTATGATATACTAAAAGCTATTATACTAAGCCACTTGAAATTGCTGGTATTAAAACTGGGTGTGGTGGCACATGCCTATAATCCCAGCTACTTGGGAGGCTGAGGCAGGAGGATTAAGACTGTGCCAGCCTCAGCAGCACAGTGGGAAGGAGGGAGGGAAGGTAGGCAGGGAGAAAGAAAGAGACAAAGGAATGGAGGAAGGGAAGAAGGGAAGAATGAGGAGGGGGAAAGGAAGGAGAAAGAAATAAATAAATTGCTGATTTTCATCTATGACAACCTACAAAAACAATGTCATATGTTTGAATGTAACATTCCAGTTGAGATCATGAGAAAGACTGCTCCTCACTAACATCCTAAATGTTGTTTCTTTCTTCTGGAAGGGCTGAGTAAAGTAGAGGAAAAGGGGTTGCCTGAAACAGTGGCGATGAGGTGCCCTGACTGAGACATAGATATCTGTCTGCTGCTCCCTCTTCTGGCCTCAGCTGCCTCCCACTAGTCATTCAGCAAACAATGACTGAGCCCTCCCAACCAGGCAGGCTCTAAGGGAACCAGAAAGAAACAGAAAACAGATGAGGAAAAGCACAGCATAAGAGGAAATAAAGCAAGGTAAAGGTAAAGTCAGAAGCCAGGGGCTGTTTATATTCAGTGGTCAGAAAAAGCCCTTTGAGGATAAGATGACCTCTGAACAAAGACCAAAAGGAAGAGAGGGATCAAGTCATAGCTGAGGGGAGGGGATCCAGGTAGAAGGTGTAGCAGGTGCAAACCTGTCAAGTCCAGGGCACACTGACAGGTGGAAGCAGCAAAAAGGCATCTAATAGGCTAAAGTGGCCCAGGGTAGCCTCAGGGGAGAAGAGTGGGAAGAGGCAGCAGGGGCCAGGAGACTTCAAAGTAGGATAGGCCTTTGGAATTTATTCTCAGTAAACCTGAATCTACTTTGGTTTTGATGAGTTCTCTTGGGACAGAAGGTGGTGGATGCATATGGACTTAGCTCAGTTTGGGCACTGAGAAATGGTCAGATTTGGGGTATACTTTAAATAGTTTGAAAGATTCACCTCTTAAGTTTATATATATATATATATATACACATATATATACACACACACACATACACATACATGCATACATATATATTTAGAAATAACTCATATATGTACTATATATATGAATATGTAGTATGTACTTCACCCAAGGCCACCCCTGATGTAATACTACCTGGGTGGGCAGTTTTTCCTGCCTTTGGTCACTATGGAAATCTGCCTGAAAGCAGCCATCTAGGAGTTGGAAAAAGCTATCCAGAGTTAGCCACATCATTCCCCGACCCACCTACCCACTCCTGGCAGCACAGCTGCCCCACGGCTCAGGGGTATCAGAAACAAAAACTTTGGCACTCAGAAGGAGTTTTTTGTAATTAGCACGGTGCGGTGGCATAGGCCTGTTATCCCAGTGGCGCAGGAGGCTGAGGCAGGGGGATCTCAAGTTCAAAGCTAGCCTCAGTAACTTAGCAAGGCCCTAAGCATCTTAGTGTATCCCTGTCAGAAAAATTAAAAAAAAAAAAAAAAAACAGGGCTGGGATGTGGGTCAGTGATTAAGTGCTCCTGGGTTCAATCCCCCCATACCAAAAAAAAGAAAAAAAAAAAAAAGTCCATGCTTAAAGGTCCTAATCTTCTGACTGCTTCAAGTCTCTTCCTCCTTAGTTTGCCAATCCCACAATTTCCAGTAAGACAAATTTTGTTCACAATGCAAAGATGAGATGTCACTATAAATTCATGTGCATATTTGTGAGTATATGGAAGGGGCCAGGAAAAGTTCAGTCTATTTCCTATGGCCGCCTGATACGCATCAAAGGGATATGGCCCTTCATGCACTCCTTACCTACAGCCCAGTCTACCTCCTGTGTTCCCTGACATAAGGCAACACAGCAGAGCTACTGCTACACAGGTGATTTTCTGCCAGGAAACAAAGTCTGTAAGTAGCACAAGCATAAAAATTTCTATTTTGGCAGCTGCAGAGATCCTGAAGACCACTGTTTTCTCTGAAAATATGAGAGGACACTGAAATCTACTGATAATAACTCACACAGCAACAGGACAGCAGAGCTGGGAAATCTGAGAAGGGCTGAAGTAAGAGATTAATGTGTGGTGCTGGGGATGTGGCTCAAGTGGTAGGGCGCTTGCCTAGCATGCATGAGGCACTGGGTTCGATTCTCAGCACCACATAAAAGTAAAATAAAGATATTGTGTCCACCAAAAAAAAAAAAAAAAAGAGATTAATGTGGACACTAGATGCTAACAAAACAAAAGTAAAGCCAGGCAATAAATTAATAAGTGTTCAATGGGATATAAACATTTTTTAAAAATGAAGGATAAAGTATATATGAGTACTTTTTCAAGGTATGGGTACAAAAATACTGGTTTTCCCCTTGGCTTCTAGTCCTTAATACAAGTGTAAACCTCTGCCCAGACTGTCCTATTCAATCTCACACCTGCCACAGCTTATCACCTTCCTCTAGCAAGAGCTTTCTCCTAGAAAGCTCCAGACTCTTTCCAGCTGCTTCCTCCTACCAAAGCAAATTGGATGCTAGCATCTCCTGCTTATTTCTCAACAACTTGCTAGCACCTCAGAAAAAGGGCCACATTCTCTAACAATATGAGGTTCTATCAGCCCCCACCCAAGCTCTATACTCCTCACCACCCCACATCTACCCTGATGGACCCACTTCCATCAGCTGCCGAAACGTACTTTTTTTTTTTCTTGGTACCAGGGATTGAACCCAGGAGTACTTAACCAGTGAGTTACGTTCCCAGCCCTTTTTTTTATTTTATTTAGAGACAGGGTCTCACTGTGTTGCTTAGCATCCCACTTTTGCTAAGGCTGGCTTTGAACTTGTGATCCTCCTGCCTCAGCCTCCTGAGCTGCTGGGATTACAGACATGTGCCACAGTGCCAGGCCCTAAGGCACAATTTTTGTATATGCCAGATTGTCTGATCTCTCTCCTAGGATGAAATTTCTGTGTAAATAAAATTCACATATTTCAGTATGGTAAATTAGAAGGTAAAAGAAATGTTTCTGAATGAGAAAGTATTTTGTATAGTAAAGTAATATTCTTGTGCTAAAGTCCAAGATGAAAGTGAGGACAAAACTAAGGATGTAAACAAGTTATAGAATATTTAAGTTGCAAAAGGTTTATGGAAGGTACATTTCAAAAAGGCTGTGTATATGATTAAATTGACTATAGTTGGCACCATCAGTTAAAATTATTCAAATTTTAATGTACTGATAGGAAAGAAAGTCTGAACACTGATCTGCTTTTATCAGGATAATTTTCTTGTATCTGTTAGGTCTTATTACTTAGGGAAACTAAGTCTTAAAGGAATTAGGATTTGTACCTGTTTTAAAGTCTTTTAAATTATTACTTCATAATTGATTAAACAAACAACTATTATTTTAGGTTATTACAATATAGTTGATGTCCTAAGTATATGTAACCAGAGATATGTATACATCTGAGAACCAGATTTGTATGATCCTTGTCTAAACGTTATGTAAAAGTTTGTAAAATGGAACTTTATGTAGGTTTACCAGCAAGGTAACCAATAAGTGCTCCCCTTTATCTCCCTCTTATCTGTTTGCTTTGCTAAGTCTATTTCTGATCATTAACACTGTATCCTCAATTTATAAGATTTAAGGCTATCTTTTTATTTTTGCTACTACAGCTAATCCATGCAGACCTGTGATTATTGTTACTGTACACTATGGATTCTACATCTTACCTTAAAATTTAAACTTAGTTAATGTAAGCACATCTGTGTGACTGTGACACACTGGCTTCTTTGTATATTAGATGCATTCATGTTCTTCAAGTATATAAGCCTTTTAAAATGTAAAGCTTGGGAGACCACTTTATCCAGTTGATGTTCTCCAAATTATCTGTAGCAATAGTCTCCTTCACATTTATATAGAAATAACAAATTTGGTTGGTATTTGTCATTTAATGTTTTGTAACTGATAAAGGTAATCTGCTATATATAAAATTTTGTGGGATGGGAATTTAAATGTATTTTTGGAAGGTAATAAGGAGAGCCTGATTACAATTACCAAA